GAGCCCCATGCCAGCTGCCTCTAGGAGAGCAAACCTTGGGCGGGGAAAAAAAAAGCTGCTCTGGTAAGAAAAGGGGCTCACTGGGCAGAGGGTGACGGGCACCCCGCTCCCCTTCAAGGGGGTCCCTCGGGTTCCGGGGTGTTCCGGCCCTGCCGTCCGTCTGCCAGCGCCCTGCTGCAAACCCGGTCCCGGATGGCTCCCGGTGCCTTTTCTTGTCAGCTCAGCTCCTTCTCCCAGCACCCAGCTCAGGCGGCAGCGATGCCGGAGAGCGGCTGCCAGGCAGGCGGATGGGCCACGGGCCCTCAGCCCCTCGCGGACCTTCTGCTGGGTCAGCGACGAGCCGCGGGCCTGCAGCCGGGTGGATGTGTGCCCCACGGGGGGGGGGATCCCCGCTACCTCCAGCATCACCCCCTCCCGAGCAGCCAGGTTCACTTTAAAGACCCTGACTTCCTTTTATTGCTTCCCCTCTCAGATTGCAGCCGGCTGCCAGGGCTATTTTTAGCAGCCCTGCCTTCTAAAAATAGCCCCGAGCTGTTGGGAGTTGCGTCAGGAGAGGTAAACTCTCCCCACGAGCGGCTTGGCCCCTGCGCCCCGGGAGGGTACAAAAAGGAGGTTGGGAGCAGCGGGGTCAGACGCAGCCGGCGGCGAAGGAGGCAGCGGTGCCGCTGCCGGCACCATGACCATCTGCAGCCAGTGCCACCGGCCGCTGCGGGCAGAGACCAGCTGCCTGCCCAGGAGGGGCAAGCAGGCGCCCGGGGCCTCGAAGCCCTTCAGGTGAGCTCCCACCCCCCCCCCCCCAGCTCTGCGAGCCCCCCGGGGGGGGGGGGGGTGGCAGCTTGCGGCGCGCTCGGCCGCCCTTGCAAAAGGGGCCTGGGGTGGAAGCGTGGGAGCTTGGAGGGGCAGAGGGATTTCAGGCGGGCGGCCGCCCTCGTGGGGTTCGGCGGGGAGGTTCCGTTTGCTCGGGCTCCCCCTTTGAAGCATTGCCCAGCCTGGCTCCCGAACAAGAGGGGCACCGGCAGCGTGTGTGTGCCCCCCACCCCCGGGGCAGCCACGAGCACCCCTGCCTGCACCCACCGCGCCGAAACAGCCACCCAAGGTTTGCCCGGAATGGGCGCCAAGCCTCTCTACGGGAGGAGCAGCTCCCCTCCGCATCCCCCAGCTCGCCATTCTCCCCCGAGCGGGCGGGAGGGGAGCGCCGTCCCTCTCCCTCCCTGGACGCGTCTCCCCAAGAGAGCTGGCTTTGCAGGTCGACCAAGAGCGCCTCCAAAGCTCGCCGGGACCAGATCAACGCGGAGCTGCAGGCGCTGCGCTCCCTGCTGCCCATCTCCGCGCGGGAGAAGGAGCGGCTCTCTTACCTCCACACCATGGCCCTGGTGTGCCTCTGGCTGCGGGGGGCTCGGCTCTTCCCCCCAGGTACCCGCGGCACCGCCGAACCCCACAACAGCTTGGCTGTGCGGGGAGCACCGCTCCCGCCCCATCAGAACGGTGTTTCACCCCACTGTGTGTGTGTGTGTGTGTCCCCTGCCTGCCGCAGTCTCCGCTCCTCCTCTGGGACCGGCCCTCAGCGCGGAGCTGCTCTCCCTGCTGCCGGGGTTCCTGCTCGTGCTCTCGGCCGACGGCAAGCTGGTTTACATCTCGGAGAACGTGGCTCAGGTCCTGGGCCTCTCCGTGGTATGGCTGTCCCACCGGGAATCCGCAGTCCCCGGCCCCGTACCTGCCCTGGTGCCTTTGCAGGGAACGCTGGCCTGGGGCTCCGGCGAGCTGCAGCTCCCGCAGTGCCAGCGTGCGGCCCGCCAGAGCAGGCACAGTGCGTGAACAGCAGCCCCTTCTTTATCAGGTGGAGCTGCTCGCCCAGGGGGACACAATCTTCGACATCCTAGACGGGCGGGCGCGCGAGGATGCCCGCAGGAAGCTCCTCCTCGCCCAGGAGGAGCCCGGCAGGGGTGAGGGAGAGGCCCTGGCTGGCTCCTCCGAGACGCTGGCCGCCCTGGGCGGGAGCGGCGCGAGGGAGGGGAGCCCCTGACCCGCTCGGGCCGGTTTGTTTCCCCGCAGAAGTCACCTTCGTCAGCGAGATGCGCACGTCCAAAGCCTTGCGGCTGCGGCACGGCGGGGACCGGGCCGTGGCGGTGCGCGGGCGCTTCATGGCCCTGCGCTGGCCGGGCCCCCCCGGCACCGCGGCTTTCCTGGCCCTCTGCACGCCCGTCGCCCAGTCGCCGGCCGACAGCGATGCCGGCTGCCGGGACGACCTGTTCCGGAGCACGCACGTCCTAGACATGACATTTACAGACGTCACGGAGAGGTGAGGGGCGTCCGGCTGGACACCTTCGGGCCAGCGAGGATCGCTTCCCTTCACCGAAGCCGTGCACGGGACGCGGGCGCAAAGACTCTCCCAGACGCTTCCCAAGCCCCTTCCCTCCCTCCCTCGCCCTTCCGCACCCCCGTTGTTTCGCCCTCTCCTCCACCGTGCGGCAGCCGCTCCTTGTTTGACGCGGTGCAGACCCTGCAGGAGGACTCAGTCCCCACTCCCTTCGTGTTCCCCAGCGTCACCTACCACCTGGGCTACCGCAGGGAGGATCTGATCGGTCTGTCGTGGTACAGCCTCCTGCACCCTGAGGATGCCGACCTCGCAGCCGCCCAGCACAGGCTGGTGGGTGAGTGTCGGGCCCCGGGGAACGTGGAAACCTGGACGTGCAGGGCAACGGGAACCACGCGAATTTAGCCCTGCCCCGAAAAGGATGGGGTCACACGAGGTCACCCGCCCCGCGCCGGTGGAACACGGGCGCCCCGCTTCGCTCACGGCGCGGAGGGGAAGGAGAAGCCCCACTGACCCCCAGATTTCGCGGGGGGGGGGGCACAACCTGACTGCGGCGTCCACCCCGCCGGGGGGGCAAAACTGCCTCCGCACCCCATCGGGGCTGCTTAGGGCGGGGAGGTGGGGGGGTGCTCCCCGCTGCCCTGCCACGGTTTTAACACACATACAATCCGCCCCCCCCCCCCCGTCTTTGCCCGCAGCGCTGGGGTCCGGGGCCGCGGCGGGGCCCGCGGTGCTGCGTGTGCTGCGCCGTGACGGGACGTGGGCCTGGCTCCGCGTGTCAGCGCGGCGGGACGGCGCGGGCCGCGCCATCACCTGCACCAGCCGCTGCCTCCGGTGAGGGGATGGGGGGGGGGTTAAGGGGGGGGGGGGGGTAAGGAGGGCAGCCCCCCCCCAAACCTCCCCTCACCCCCATCTCCGCCGCAGGGAGGAGGAAGCCGCCTTCCTGCGCGCCCGGCAGCGCCGGCCCCGGCCGGCGGGACCGCAGCTCAGCCGCTTGGCCGCGCAGCTCCGCGCCCTGGCCGACAGCCTCTCCCCACCGCCCCCCCCCCTCCCCGGGGCATCGGGGCGGCCCCCCGCCCCTTCCCCTTTAATAAACGCCCCTTTCTGACCGCCTCGCCCATTGTCTGCGCGTGCGCCCGTTGTCTTCCGCCTCTGCGCGGGGGGGGGGAGGGAGGAGGGTTCCCGGCATGGAGGGGGGTGAGGAAGAGGAGCCCCGCGGGGGGCTGAAGGCGGCGGAGGGTGAGCGCGATGGCGGGGGGGGGGTGGGGGTGTCACGGCCGCCCGTTCTCGAGGGGGTTAAATGGTTAAATCGTGGAATTGCTCGGTCCCTTCCCAGAGCCCAGCTCCCTCCTCCCCCCCCCCCCCCCCCCCCGCTCTGCCGGCGGGAGGTCAGGGCCGGCCGCGGCGTGGCCGGAGAAGCGGGAATTAATTCGCTCTCGAAAACTCAAATTTTGGCGTTTCGGAGATCAGGCGTTCTTTATGACAACACCAGACACGGGGGGGGGGGGGGGGGGGGGGGGGGGGGAATAGCTCCTCCTGATGTGTGTGTGCGTAAAGACAAAATCAACACGTGATTTATACTACCTGAATCACACGCGCTCATTACATTTTTTTATCATACTTGTAACTTTTCCAGGAACCCATTAGCGCACGTTAATGCCTCTCGCGCGTGCCTGTCGGAGGCTTCAGGTGGTCGCCGGGGGTTCCTCGGGTGAAGGCTCGTAGTCTTCTTCACTGTGTCGGCCAGCTGACCCTTCCTGCACGTATCCCTCGCCCCCCAGGCCGGGCTGCTCGGGTTTTGGTGCTGATTTGCAGCTCCCTTACCTTTACGTTTCCTTGCACCTGCTGCTGCGAGGCCGAGCCAGCGAGATTATTTAGCAGTTCCTTATCCTGCAGTTATTCTAACTGCTCCTCAACAGATTGGCGTTTGTTTGGTCCCACCTGCAGCGCAATGGTTAAATGGATTTAGTTTTTATTTCTGATTACCCTACCTTGATTTGATGGGGAAAATTAATTTATTACCAAAGTCGAATCTGTTCTGCCCGTGCTGGTAATCGGCGAGTGATCTCCCCCTGTCCTTAGCTCAACCCGGGAGCTTTTTGTTATATTTTCTCTCCCATCTGGGTGGGGAGGGAAGTAATAGAGCATCTTGGTGGGCAACCAGGATCAACACCCCCACCCCCGGGCAGGATGTGGTTGGTTTTGCTAGGCCACAGCTGAGGTGTTTTGTGCCAAGCAGATAGTATTTGTGCAGAGTTTTATGCCAAGGCTTTCTCCAGAAGGGAGGCAGTGCAAACCCTCCTGCTCCTTCTTGCCCCTGCCGCCATCCAGAGAACGGAATGGTGTCCAAGTGCTCCCTCCAGAAATGCTTTCTGATTGCTAGTCCTGAAACCCGGAGGTGTAAATCCAGACGGAGCTGTTGATAATATTTTTACACTGTGCTTATAAGGAGTGTGACTGTCACTGCGGGATATTAAACAGCAACCGAAAATTCCAGAAAACCTTGTGCATTCATCAACGCTTTGGGGAGAGTTGGTTTTGCTGTTTCTCGTGGTGTTTTTTTTTGCTGTTTCTCGTGGTGTTTTTTTTTGCTGTTTCTCGTGGTGTTTTTTTTTTGCTGTTTCTCGTGGTGTTTTTTTTTTGCTGTTTCTCGTGGTGGTTTTTTTTTTTGCTGTTTCTCGTGGTGTTTTTTTTTTTGCTGTTTCTCGTGGTGTTTTTGTTGGTCTTCTGGTCAGAGGACAGAAGGAAAATTTCCTGCGACGCAAGGTGTAAGTAACAGTGTGGGGAGCTCGCAGCAGGGCGAGAATATGAAACTGCTTTTTGGCGTTGCGGGGTTTTGCTCTTCCCCCCCCCCCGCCGGCGAGTCAGGCTGTAAGTTGTCGCTGTTGGTAGCGAGGCGGTGAAGGTTGAGTGTCCGGATTTCGGTCGCTCTCGGGCCTCTGAGGAGGTTCTGCTGTGGGAATCGCTTCGCTGCGGGCTGAGCAGAGCCGTGGGCGATGTGCAGCAGGGAGGGACTGTCCCTCCTCCCTCCCAGTTTTAACAGACCGAGCAGGCTACGTGGTTCTCCTGCGGCTTCTGGCTGGCCTCGCGGTGCGAGAGATGCGGTGGTGCCCGTGCGAAGGCGGTGGGACAAGGACAAGCCCGTTGCAGAGAAGGACTCGGCGCTGAGAGGCGATCCCTCAGAATTTACGATGTGACCCAAACACAGCCCAGCGCAGAGCTCGTGTCGCTCTCGGCGTCGGGTAAAAACGTCGAACCGGTCTTGTGCGTGCTGCTGAGCGGAGAGAAGCAAAGGCACGTCGGGGGAGAGGGGAATTATTCCCGTGCTAAAGGCTGCGGTGATTAACGAGGGAGAAAGCGAAGGCCGAGAGATGCGTGGGCTTCTTTCTGCCGCTGTCTGGATGGCAGCCCTGCGCTCGTGTCGCTGTCTCGGGCTCAGACATCCCTCCTGGTGGAATCTGGGGGGGGTGGGAAGTGCCTTGAGAAGCTGTTCAGTTCAGGTGTGTCCTGTGCTCTCTTCTAGATCAACGCCTCGTGTCTTTTGAGGAGCTGCTGCAGGCGCAGAGTGCTATGAGGACGCGAACGCGCAAGCAGGTGACCGGTGGGAAGAAAACTGCAAAACCTACCAAAGCTATGGCGAAGCAGCAGCAAGGCAAAAAGGGGTAAAGAGGTTCTTTTGTGATCGGAAAAGTGTGCGTGTGTCCTCTCCGCACTCCAGAAATGAGGCTGGGAGCTCCTCGTAGCATCGCCACTGCCTTGGAGCTGGTGTCGGTGTCCTTTAAGGTGCTACGCAGTGGTGCTTTTCACTATGGGGTTTCATTTGGGAATGATCTGTTGCTCTTTCAGAGCTCTTAACATCCTATCCCGTTCAAATCCCTAGCAGCCACCTGTCACTCAATAGTTAAATCTGCACTCAGTTCCTCTACACCCTCTGTATTAAGGCATTTTTAACCCACGGTGTGGTATGCTTCTCTTCGAAGCTGTATGATTCTGCTTTTTACCTGTGTCCCCTGGGCCCACAAGTAGTTACCCTGCTGTTTTCTAACCCCCCTCCAGCTTATCAGCACCTTCTGCCTGGCTCCTGCTGGCTGGAGTTGCAGTGACAGTTCTGGAATTTCCTTCTGTTGTCTCATCTGTGCCTCGTCTGTGTTGATTTTTATCTTTTTTTCTCCTCTACAGTACTTACCATCACAGACCTTTTTCCTGTCCTCAGCGGTCTTTACATCTCCTGTTTGCACACTCTGTAGGTGCTATTGATGTGGTGACTATAAAATGCATTCAACGCAACAAAAACTATCAGAACCTTTTACACTCCTCCCCTGGTAACAACTGTTATACCATTACCCTTCATTTGCAGTAGTTAGCTGGTTTTCAGTCCTCAGAGTCATAGCTAAGCGATTTGAATAGGTTTCCTCTGTTACGCTGGCATTCCCTAACCTATTCCTGAACCTCTGCTGAACACGTGTTTCTTCTGCCATAAACAGTTGATTAGAATGTTTCTGCTTTGCCTTTTACCCAAGAGTCTGGGGGATTTTGTGCGGTGCAACATCTTCGCAGAGTGTCTCTTATTTCTGCCACACAGTTTGCATAGTTCTGCTTTGATTTAATTCCCCTAATCCTTTAAGGGATGCGTCACTGTAAATCCCACATGCTGTTTCTTTGAAAGTTTTTGTTAGGGAAGTGACCTTCTGAAAAAAAAGGGGCTTAAGGGAAATCCTCTGGAACTGAGCTGGCTTCAGCAGCGCTGTGTAAAGCTGACTCCAGAGCATTGCACAGGGGTGTAGCCACATCAGTGGACATGAAATGACACAGAACGCTGCCCTAAGTGGGAGCTGGAAAACTTACTTATGACTGGGGGGGGTTGTTTCAGTTCCTGCCCCGGTGTTATTGTGTTGCTGAATGCAAGTCTAGTGCCCACGTTGTGGGTACTCCAGCGGGTGGTCCGCAGGTCTTTTCATGTTTCTAGTAACTTATCTGATACCCTGACAAATAGCAGGACACGCTTCCCAAGGAACGTGGGGAGAGTAGCATCCCGCTGTGACACCTTATGCTGTCCCCCCCGTACACCTAAAGCATCGAGCTCTAAAGGCCTGTGTTGCAAGGAGGACTTGTTCACTTCATTGGTTGTCACCATGGTCCTCGTGGTGCTGGTGCACGGTGGAGTCTCTCCTGGGATACGTACCGTGAGCTGTAAGGCCCTTATTCCTAGGGGCTGACCTTTTCTTTACTTGTGTTACGGCATGCTTTCTCGCTGAGCCTGGCCACAGTAGAATTGGCCTGTCTTTGTAACTACTGGGCCAGTGCAGAAATTCTCAACGTTGATCTCACCTTTCAGCGTATTAATCGAGAATGGATGAGTTGGTGAGCCAGGAATAGGAGAGGGTTGTTGCATGAAGAATGAAAACGTGGAGAGGAATAGTTGAGTAATTTACTGATGCGGGTGGTGGGTTTTCGCTTGGTACGGTGGGGCTGTATCAGGTTTTGTGTAGGATTGTTCTAACGATGCAGTTACAGATCATTTGGTTGTAGCAGCCTTCTGTAGCTCCTGACCAAGCCACCTCTTCCCTCTCTAGGTGTCGTGGTGAGGATTGAGTGGGAGAGTCTGCTGTTTCAGCACTGTGCAGTAATGTTCTTCCGAGGGTCTGGCTGACCTCCTGACACATTAGTCTGGGCCTCGTTCTGTCCTCTGCTCCTCTGAAGAACATTTTTTTTTTCTCTTTTTCAGGCCATTGGAGATGTCTGCCAAGAAGCCTGTACCTTTTCTGCGACAAGTCGTCTCTGTGACAAAGAAGGTGGGTGCTCCCCCTCCCCAGCTCAGGTGCTGGCTGCCCTTAGCAATGCTAATCGGGCACAGACGTGGTGATGGGGCTGCCGAAGGGGACGCAGGCTGTTTCTGAAGGACAGAGCTTGGGCCACGGCTCGGTGAGCACAGGGAGCGCTAACACGTCTCTGGGGAGGACAAGAGATTGGGTGCAGGAGGGGCTGCTCTCTGTACGACCTGCTGCCTTGCACAGTGCATGACTTGGGTCTCAAAAGTTCGAGTTACATCTTCTAGAAACACCTGAGGAGTAACGGCTGCCACCAGTGACAGCTGCTCTGCAAGCTGTGCTCATTGCTCGGGACTAATCGCATTGGAAGCTCAAATGCCCATCCGGTTTCTAATCTGAATACGACTTTGACATCATTGCTGGATCATCTCAATATGTTACTTTCCACAGTTAGGGATCTCTTTTTGTGTGCGTCTCTTTGTATGGCCTGACCCGGGTAATCTGTGAAAAATCTAGGTAGGTTTGAATTCCCAGTCCCAACACATGTTCAGCCAGCCCTTGGAGGGGGTTGCAGGCGTTTGGAGGCAGCACTCCTGCTGCTCTTCCTTGAGTTGGCTTCTCCGGGGTGGTAGACCTGCCTATGGAAATGCCTGTTGCTTGGCAGACTGGAGGCAGGCGTGGTGACTTTGGGGGGGACTGCCACCTTGATTGCCAGACTTGGTCTTTGCCAACTGCAGATGCTTTCGGTGGTGGGCGCATAAAATCGCTAGTAGAAAAAAGTGGCAAGGTCTCCTCCGTGGAAGGAGAGCAAGCAGGCTATTAACGGGGTAATCCTGGCCACAGCTCTTACCTTTGCCTTCCTTGCCTTCAGGTCCACAGAGACCCTCGGTTTGATGACCTGTCTGGAGAGTATAAGCCTGAAATATTTATGAAGACGTACAGCTTCCTGGACAACATCAAGAAGCAGGAGAAGGAGGTGATGCTGTGCGCCTGTCCTTGGGCAGAAGGACCTTGTTTGGCAGGGGCAGCTTCTGCAAAGGCCTTTCACAGTGGAGGTGGCAGGCAGGGAGTCACGCGGCTTTTTGCTCTCTTCTTCAGATGGTTCAGAAGCAGCTGAAAAAATGCCAGAACGTGGAGCAGAAGGAGAAACTCCAGCAGCTCCTGAACCGCATGGTGAGTTCAGCACAGCACCCTCCTCTTCTGTGTGGCCGTGCACTAGAAGAGAGGATGTGTGACCTGAGGTCTGCCTCGACACTGGCTGACACAGGCCCGTCCTTTCTGTACAGACACAGCAAGAACAGGCACAGAAAAAACAGCAGGAACGGAGAGAGAGGGAGCTGTCTTTGAAGAGACAACAGAGGGAACTGGCCAAGCAGGGAAAGAAACCCTTTTTCCTAAAGAAATGTAAGTGCTTGATGCTGCCGGGGAGACCTAGAGGGGATTCTGCTGAGAGGCCTCCAAGCACTGGGAGTTGTCCCTAATGTTCTAGGGAGCTGTGGAGGGATTGTTCTAGCACTGGTGCTCAAGGGACAAGCCTTGCCTTGAGCCAGGGAGGGAGAGGTGAGGAGGGGCTGGTCTGTAGAGATGATTCAGGCTTCAGTTTAAAACCTCACTCTCCTCTCGGCAGCTGAGAAGCGGAAATTGGAGCTGGCCGAGAAGTACGCAGAGCTGAAGAGGAGTGGGAAGCTGGAGAGCTTCTTGAACAAGAAGAGGAAGAGGAATGCCATCAAAGACAAGCGCCGTCTGCCCTCACAGAAGAACTCGTGACTGCTGGACAGGCACTGGGACTCGCTCTGCCCTGGCCAGGTCTGGAAGGTGGCCCCCCCCCTCTTCCCAGTATTTGCCTTTCACTACCGGGATGCTGTTAGGCAGCAGAGCAGAGGCTGAGCTGAAGGAAATAGCGCTTTTTTGTAGCTGAAATGCCCTTTTCGCTTGTGGTTACACTGTGCCTGGGTGGTGGCAAGTCTGACTCTGTCCTTGCACTTGCTCATCCCTTCCCCTTAGTTAGGAGAGCATGAGCCCTACCCTGCGTTGCTGGCTCTTCCTCCAGGTCTCACTGAACACCAGCTGGGGTGGGGAAAGGACCTCGGGTACAAAACCTGCTCAGAGCAGGGCCAGCACCGACTTCGGACCAGGTTGCCCAGGGCTTCTTCAGTTGGGTCTGGGAATGCCCAAGGGCAGATCCCACCACCTCTCTTGGCCTCTGCTCCACTGCTTCTAGTTCTCAAGATGAAACTGGGGTGTTTTTCTCTCCCTCCTCCAGGGAACCTGCCTGGTTTTAGTCCATAGTCACTGTCTTGTTCTTGGTGAAGTGCCTGGCTCTGTCTTCTCAGCAGCCTTGTCATAGATCTGGGGGGGGCGGGGTGGGAAAGGGGTGCTGTTAGGTCTCCCCAAAGCCTTCTCTTCCTGAGCGTGAATAAATCCTTTTCCTTCAGCCTTTCCTTGTGGTGCTCCAGTCTCTGACAGCTTTCACATCCAAAACTAGAGTCAGCCCAGGGGACCAACATCTGCATCGTAGGGGCCCAGCCTGGATGCAGTATCTGGGTATAGTCTCACCAGTGCCGAGTAAAGGAGAGACTATCGCCCCCCCCCGATTGATTTTACAGGAGTTAATGCCTCTCTCCACCCCCTGTTTGACCACCAGCTCTCTTCTTTCTCCTCGCTCCTGATTGCCCCTGTCTCGGGGGGGGCTGCGCTGACAAGGTGGTGACGGGGACGTGACCCGGATGATCTGACACGTCAGAGCGTGTGCTGGGAGAGTGCCTCAGCTGTGCTGGGTGTAGGTGGGCAGCTGGTGCGTGGGGCCTGGGGACGGGCCTTGCAATGAGCAAGGAGGAGGAATGATGAGCAACTCCATCACGCCCACCCCAGGGTGTCGCAGAAGCATCTGCCCCCACTGAAGTTCCTGTGGGTGAAGCGAGTTCTACTCTGGTGACGGGTTTTAGCGTAACTGGGGGAAGACAGTAGAAATGGGATGTGCCAGCTCGGCTGGAAACCCCGTGGAAATCTTCAGCTGCCTTTAACCTGCCCGTGGCTTGTTGCTTTGCAAGCTGCCTGGCTGCTGCTTCCTCTCGCCTTGCGCTGTGGGATGCAGAGCCTGCCGCATCCTTGAGCCTTCAGAGGAGAGTTACTTTGGGAGCGGTGCAGCCGCACCAGAGCCCAAGGCTGTCCTGACCCCTCTGTGGCATCCGTCTGCTGTTTGACGATAGCAATTTTTAACGAAAAGCTGAACAAACCTCCCCTTGTACTTCAGTGCAAGAAGGGAAGAGGAGTGGGGCTTGGGCGGGCTGGAAGGTGGCTCGCCCCTGTGTCACTGCTGCTGGGACCTTGCCGAAGGGCCGTGTCCTTGAGCCAACGTGTCCCCATCCCCAGCTGCTGGTAGGTCCTGCCCAGCGGGGAGCAAACCTGGTGTCTCCTCGAAGCGGTCCCGCTCTCCCCTCCCGCCCTTCAGGCTTCTTCCCGCTCGGGCCTGTGCGCCTGCCTGCGAGGAGGACACCCTCGCTGGGATGTCGCCCGCTTCTGTTCAGCCCGGGAGCGGTGAGGAGCAAGCCGACTGACCTCCGGCAGCTCGGGGAGCCCTGGGGGCATCGCCCAGCTCCGCCAGTGTCGTGGTGGCACTGGGTGTTGGGGCGGGTGGCAGCATGGCAACGCCAGCTCCAAGGGCAGGAGATGCGTCCGCCACCTCGAGCGCTTTCTGCTGCCGGGGGAGCCGCTCTTCCCCGCGGCCTCCCAGCCTCGAGGAGTCAGTTGGGTTATTTTCCTTCTATTTCTAACGCTGCCCTGGCAGTGTGGCCGCCAGACCTGCTCCGGTTTTCCTTCGGGGTGGGGTGTGGGGACGTGCTGTGGTGGGTGTCCCGGGAGAGGGCAGCCGTGGGGCACGGCTGGCGGCACGGGCAGCGGTGGCTGACGGAGCTGCTCTACCTCCTTCCCCAGTGACACCCTCAGAGCCCACCAGACTCTCCCAAGGACCTGCCCCTCCTCTCCCAAATGTTGGCCAGGAGGAATGGCTTTCAGACCCAGGTGCCTGAGATGCTCTTCCCCAGGCCTGGGTGGTCACTGGGTGAGCCCCCCCAACCCCAGATGTGCTCTGCACCCACAGCTGGACGTCCAGGCCCCCACGGGAACTGGGGGAACCTGCCTGCCGGCAGGGACACAGACAGGAGGAGGCTGCAGGGCTCAGGTCTTTTATTGCAAAGAGGGAGATACGAAAAAGGATGGTGACCCCCCCTCTGGGCACCCCAGGCCTGCAGCTGGCTGAGAGGGATGACGGGGAAGGGGGTCCCCGGCTCGTGCAGCAGGGAGCAGGCTGCTGCCAAAGCACCGAGGGGGGAGGTAGGGCCAACCACACCAGTACTGTCCCTCTGCAGCCCCCCAGCTGAGCCTGGGGTATGTGGGGGGGGGGGGGGGGGGGGCTGCCTGGCCCCAGCCAAACACAGCGGGCAAACCTGGCCTCCTCTGCCCATCTCCCTCAGTGGGGTGCTGGGGTCCCGAACTGCTCCGCGGCTTTACAGGGGCTGCTCCGAGAAGGAGCAGCTCCCCTCCTCGGGGAGCAGGGGCAGCTTCGCCCAGGGAGGGAGGGCGGGAGCAGGGTTGCTGCTCTCTGTCCGGGGTGGGGGGGCTTTAGCAGCCCGCCCCGAGCTTCCAGGTCCAGCCAGGCGTGGCGGTAGCCAGGCTGCTGCTCCTGCTGGCTTGTCATCTGTTGTCCTGGGCCAGCTCCTCGGGGCAGGCGGGCTGGTCCCGGGACGCGCGCAGCCCCGGGGAGGGCTGGGCCTGGGTGCTGTGCTGCAGGGCCAGGTCCAGCCCCAGGGGCACGGGGTGCCGGTGCCGCTGGTACTGCACAAACGTACAGACCTTCAGCCCAATGGCCAGCATGTTCTTGCCCATGAAGATGCTGGAGACCCGGGCGTCCCTGAAGAAGACCATGTTGCTGCCTCTGATGAAGAGGGTGGCGATGTTGACGGTGAGCATGCTCAGCATGGGGTACAGCATCATCCGGTGAGGCATAATGCCGATCCCTTGCATGCTGATCTCACAGAGGGACACGCAAGGGAGGACCAGGAGCAAGATGTAGCAGTAGAAGAACATGATGCCCTCAGCCCAGAGTGGCAGCCCCTTCTTCTGGGGCTCCCACAGGTTGGCCTGGATGTCCAGCACGTCCAGCATGTCCACAATGACCCAAAAGAGGCGGTTGCGGAGATCTTCTTTTTTCTTGAATGTCCTGACGTACTCCATGTGCTCCGTGGCCGCCAACAACATGTAGAGGGCTGGGATGCAGATGGAGAGCAGCAAGGTGAGTGCTTTGCGGGCTATGAGGTCCAGGCTTTTCCGGTCAGCTTTATAGTTCTGGTATACAAAGTAGACTTTGATCTCCAAGACGAAGACGTACAGGAACCAGAGGATCATGGCGTAGCCCCGCTTAGCTGTCTTTACCTCCGCCCCGACCCAGATGGCCACGTAGCGGAGCACCAGCAGGAAGCACACGTCGCCCACTGCCACCATGACACAGATGCCCAGTTTCCTGGAGCCCTGGCTCTGTTCCACCAGGTAGGCGTCCATGAGGACGAGGCTGGTCATGATGAGCACGGTGGAGAGGCACACGTGGGGCTTGCTGACAGGTGGCGGGGGAACCATCCTGCATGGAGGAACAGGCAGGGCCATCAGGGAGTTGCTGGGATTCCCCATCCCTACCCTTGGGCCCCCTTCTGCCCCCGCTCTCCCCAGCAAGTGTGGATGGCTGAAAGAAGGGGTGGGGGGGATGTTTTCACAGACTCTTCTCCCATCCTACGTGCCCGGTTTGTTCCAAACCCGCAGGCTCCTAGCCGAAGTGCTCCCGAGGCTCCTGGCCGGGTCATCCTGGTGGCACGTGCTGGCTGAAACCCAGCTCCTAGGCTGCACGTGGGGATATGGTGGGGCAGGCTGGACAGCCTTCAAGCACTTGGGATGCTACTGCCTCTTCCAGTAGCTCATCACGCCAGTTAGTCTCTGCCACCGTGAAGGGCACATGCCTTATTTTCCATGGGATTTTTCCAGCCGGTGGCAGTGGTTATATTCTCCCCCCCCAGGCACGCAAGTCCAGATCTATGCTTCTAACCCAAGCAGGTCCTTAACTGCTATGATCCAGCATCGCTCTCTTTTTAGTCTCCTTTATTTTCATGCACAGCATGAGGCGAAGGATTATTTTTAGCCTGGCTGTCCTGTGGGGTGGGAGGGAAGAAATCAGCCCAACATCTTCAGTTTCCTTCAGCTTCACGCTCCTGAAGAGCTCTGCCTACAGCTGTTTGCCCGCGCCCCCACCCTGGCCCAGCACGGCAAACCCAAAGCCGGGAGAAGCAGCGCCAGCCCACGGCTGGGGGGACGCGAGGAGCCCGCAATTTCAGCTGGGGGCTCAGCTTTCCCAGGCCGGGGCAGAGCAAAGCACGGGCCCCAAAAGCCCGCTGCCTACCCCGGGTGGCCCCCGGGGCTCTCAGGCTCCCTCCCCTCGGCCGAACGCAGCCGGGGGGGCAGCTGCTGCCGGAGGATGGAGGGAGGATGGAGCCGGGGGGGGGCCCCGCCGGGCACGGCTCAGCAGCTGCTCTGGAGGGGAGCCAGCGCCCTGGCTGAAATGGAGGAAGAAGCCGGCCTGCTGACTGCGGGGCACGGGCGCTTGCACGACGGCTACCCGTGCGCGGAGCATCCCCCCCCCCGCCCCGCACCGTGGGGCCGTGGGACCCCCCCCCCCGGGGCAGCGCGGGGGTTAGGGGCGAGCGCTCGGGTGGTCTGGGGCGCGAGGCACCCCCCGCCGGCACCCACTTTTTTTTTTTTTTGGCTGGCGCACCCCTCCGGGTGAGGGAGGCGATGAAGCCGAAGCCTGGGGGGGGGGGGGGGGATGTGGCACATCTGGAGCACGCAACACAGCGTGGGGGGGGGGGGGGGGGCGTCTCTCCCCATGTTTCGCTCCACAGCCTCGTGACTACCTGAGTGAACCCCGGTTCCCCACGCCGGCTCCGAGTGGGGCCACCCCGCTGCCTTCCCCCCCCCCCCCCCCGCCCTTCCCCGGGCACCCGGATAAACCATCACCCCGCTCCCGCATGCCCTGAGCAACCCCCCCCCCCTCCCCGCCCAGGGGCGCTCAGCCTGCAAAGCCAGGCCTGACCGGGGATGGGGAGAAGGGGGGGGTCGTGTATATATCCCCCCCCCCCCCCCCCCCCAAGCTTACCTCGGGCGGCTCCCCAGCCCCGGGCCCGGCGCGGCATCGCCCGGTTCGCCTCTGCGGCGGCGGCGCCGTTTGGCCCCTCCCGGCGGGCGGGCGGGGATTGCGGCGGCCCCCGCCTCACCGGGGCGATCGGCACCGCCTGCCCCCCCCCCCCCCCCCCCCCAAAAAAAAAAAAAAACCTCTTACCTCGCTCTCCGGGGCCGCCACCGCCCCATATTCCCCCCTCCCGGCCACCCTCCGGCTCCCCGAGCCCCCGCCCTGGGGCGGGGGGACACCCCACATCCTGCACCACCACCCCCCCCCCCAGCCTCCAACCACCCTCCTGCCCTCTGGTTCCCCACGCCCCCCGATCCCCAGGAAAAACTGGGATGCCCGAGGAAGCTTGGGCTGGCAAAGGGCTTCCCCGTGGACTCCCCCAACTGGGAGCGACCAGGACGCCCCCCCCCCCCCCCCCCCCAAACCCTCCGTGACTTCGCACCCAGCCGTGCCGGTGTGCAGGGTCCTGGGGAGCTCCAGCACCAGCTTTGCGGGACACTGGTAGAGCTGGGCTGGGCACAGCCTGGGGCTTTTGTGCGCATAAATCAGGCCAAGCAAAAGGTTTCTCTCCCCCGGGGTGGACATCCCTCTCTGCAAATTCTCTTCTATCAATCAGCCTGCCTGCATTCAACTCCGAGCTTGTTGCTAATTGATTTTACTCTTAGCTACGCAGGGGAGGCTTTCCAGTATATTTCCACTCTGACTTTGAAGTGCTCGTTGTAAATACATGTGTTTTAGAAGATGAGGAGTCGCCCGGATCTCTGGAGGTGGGCTAAGAGAGCAAAACTAGTCACAGACCTGCGTGAGAAGACAAGTGCCAGCCACAGCCCCTGAGTGCCAGGAGAAGCGCAGCCCACCTCACCTCCAGCTGCTGCCAGGGCAGGCGTAAGTCCTACGTTGTATCCGATGTTCTGGGGCATCTTGGGTGGCACCAGAGACGTATGCGTCCCACCTGTAGTGTCCGTGAAGAGCGCTGTGAGGTATGAGAGGGGAAGCCAACACAGAAGCAAAACCTGGAGCTTTCCTGCTGGACGCAGAAGGGCCAGCTCTCACGAGGTATCAGGGGAGTCTCTTGTAGGCTGTAAGGAGGAGCAAAGGGTCTCTGTCCATGGAGGCACCCGAGGGGGTGACCACAGAGAGAAAGAGATGCTGGAGGCAGCTACCAAGCAGTGGGGCTAAAGACAACATGATTCATCCCTGAGCTGGAATCCTAAAACCCCTGAGTCTTCACTAGCGGCTAGGACAGGAGGTGACAACATTCGCGTGGGAAGCAGTAAAGAGCTGCTTTAACAAGGCACAGAAAAACCAGCAACCAGAGCAAGAGCAGATACTTATGTGCTTCTCTAAAACACGATGCTGGAACCAGGGTGCCAGAGTTTGTATGGGGAGTCAGCTGTGATCGGAGACAAAATGGAAGGAAACCGCAGGCACAGCGGGGTTCCCAGGCAGGGAGCTGCTCCCTGGCTGCTGCTGGCTCCAGACCTGGGAGGAAAAGCATTTTCAGCTTAGCCCTGTGCTGCCTAGGACACCTGCACCCCACCGTTATCACCGAAGAGTCCCTCCAGGGCAGTGACCACAACGTGCACCAAGACTGTGTTGGGAGAGAGCCGGAGAAATCCATCAGTCACGTTGAACATCCCTGGAGGGAACTGCAGGGGAAGTTTGTCAACAAGGAACGGCAAGTGGTGGCTGTGATGGGGAAAGGCTGGCAGGGGCCTAGGGACCGTGCTGAGTGAGATTCGACTGCTCCAAAAGAGCTTTGTGGCCCCCAGGGCCTGGCCACAGAGCAGAGGACGAGAAGTGGCTGGAACTGATGGGCATCCTTCAGGAAGGCAATTTAAAAAAAACAACCAACCAACCAACCAACCAAAAAACCAACAACAACAACAACAAAAAACACAAAAAAACCCCCAACCAACCAACCAAAAAAAACCAAACAACAAACTGGGAGAGGCTTCTGGGTGAAGGATCACAGGATGCTGAAAGATACTTTAACTTCAAAAAGGCCTAATGTGAGGAAGGTGCAGGAAGGTGACATCAGAGTGGAGAAGCAAGAAATTGGGTGTGCCAAGTAGGAAAACAAAGGAATGAACATACAGAGTGCAGCCACGTCACCATTTGACAAAATACAGAGCAGAGGGGATGGAGCTAAGCGACGGTGACACCATCCTTTGGGGGGTGCAGGCTGGGCCTCTGAGAAAGTGGTGTCTGTTGCAAAAAACCCTTAATTTCAAACACAGCCACGTAGGCACCTGCTGGGACGGAGAGTGGGTTCTGCTACTTCTGCTGGCAGCATCTCGGAGGAGTGAAAGGACCACCATGGCAAACGGTGTGATAAGGGGCACTGGGTGCAGCGCTGCGGCAGCGCACGTGCTGGGCCACCTCGCCGCACCCACGGGGGAAGGCAGTAGCCGGTCACGCGCGTGGTCCTGGCAACCTGGGCTCCAAAGGGTTTTGAAAATTCAGGCTTGCGGGCGCCGAGTCTGGAGCACGTAAAATCCTGGAGGTCCTGGAGGGCAGGCGAGGTGCCCGCGCGGCAGAGCAGGGATGTGGCACTGACCCCACGGCCCGGAGGCCGGGCTGGCTGCGGGGACAGCCCGTGGAACCACGGCTGTTTGTCCCACAGCCACTGGGGGCCAGTGCAGACCCACGCAGCCTGCTCAGGACAAAGCCACCCCTGGCTCCTTGTCACCCTGGGGTGGGTGACCGGCAGCATCCCGCCTGTCCCGCTCGGGCCCCGGGGCCAGAGTACTCCCCCAACATCCCCCCATACACCCCCCAGCCCCAGTCAGAGCACCCCTAAGCACCCTAGGGTGAGCTCCTCTCAGCCCTGCATTTCCCAGGGCACAGCCAAAATGCCCTGGTGCCTGCGAACAGCACCCTTCCCCACCGCTCTGAGCTGACGCTGCAGGTCACAAGGGAGAAAACGTGGCTTCCCACCACCAAAAAAAGGTGTTCTTACAGCTAAAAGCAGGACGGTGTGAGAATAACACTGCATCAGTGGAAAAACCTCGGCCAGTGCTGAGGAGATCGAACAGCACAGGTCCTGGCACGGCCCCTGCAGAAGCTGGGGGCTCCTCTTTATTTCGTGGTTTGGCCATTACTGACTCAGCCACTTCTTTGAGGCAGTTTTAAGCGAGGAGCACTGCAGCTCCTGGCTCATCCCTTCCTCCTTTCGGGATCTCTCAGCCAGCACCACCCCGCCGTGGTGATTTGGTGCCGTTCCTTTGCCCTTTTCCCAGAGGCAGTGCCATTTCAGGCACCCTCTGCCGAGGCCCTGCCAAAGGTGAGGAGCAGTAAGGGGTCCTCCCTGCTCGAACAGCACCACAGCGATGCATTTGTTCAGCTCCTGTGCCCCAGGCTCGTCCTAAGCTCCATCCCCGCACACCGCGCCGGCCCTACGGATGCTCTGGTGGGTCCTTGCTCCCCGGGGGTTTGGAGGAGAGAGTCCATTTTCGTTCTCAGCTTTCCTCCAAGAAGGCTTGTCTTGCTTTTAGCTTCAACCCACCCGCCCCATGGGTTTTTATTTTCCCTGCTCCGGCCCGCTCCGCACATCGCATCCCCCCCCGCTGGTGCTGCCGCCATGTCACCCCTGCAACCCCCGTTGGGGCCCCAGGGACCCCCTCCCCGCTCCACACAGCAGCCGGGACGGCGTGGCGCCGAGGGCTCTGACTTAAACGACGACCCCTTTATCCCCCGTCCCTCGGGGATCCCCCTCCGCCGCCCCGAAAACCCATCCCCAGGGGAGGCGGGTGGGTGGGTGGAACAGCGCGGCTCCGCTGCCATGGCAACCCCCCCGCGACCGAGCCGCACCCCTCCGCGGGCTCGCCCAAACCGAGGCTGCTTGGGCTTTAAAGGGCTCGCTACCACGCCCCCACCGGCCGGGGGGGGAAGACGGGAGGGATGCTGTTCTCCCATTGGCTGCCCCCCTCCAGAGGTCTCTACGATTGGCTGGAGGCCTCTCCGGCCACGCCCCCATCTCTGTTTCTATTGGCTGGCTGCCGCAGCCGCCCTCCTCACCCTTTCCCCCGGTTCCGATTGGCTCGTCTCCCGCCGCGAGCCGCTCCCATTGGTCACGGTGTTCGTCCCGCCCCCCCCCCCCGCCGCGCCCTGCCACGCTCCGGTTGGCGGCCGCGGGGCGCCCGGGTCCGCTCCGCCGCGCGCGGGGCGGAGGGGAGGGGAGGGGGGGGGGGGGGGGGAAGAAGAAGAGCGGGGGCTCGCGCCATCCCCCTCAGCGATGGCGGCGGCGGCGGCGGCGGCCGGCGCGTTGGGTTCAGGCCCCGCCGCGGGGCCGTCGGCGATGGCCGGCGTGGCGGCGGCGGCGGCGATGGCGGTAGCCGGCCCCGGGCCGGTCCCGGTGCCCATGAACCTCTTCGCGACGTGGGAGATCGACCGTTCGGCGCCCAACTGCGTGCCCAGGTGAGCCCCGCGCCGCCCGGCCGCCTCGCCGGCGACTTGCCCCACTCCGCGGGTTTCGGTGAGCCCCCGGGGCTGGGGGTGGCCTTTCGGCATCCCTGCCGAGCCGAGCCGGGGCTTGGGCGGCGGCACCGGGGACCGGCGGGGCTTGGGTGTGCCGGTACCGGCCCACGGTTGCGTTGACTCCATGTTGCGGCCTCTGCCACGCGCGCTGCCGTGATGGCCGTGGCAGAGCTCGGAGCGGAGCGGCTCAGCGCGGCCGTTGCCGCTTCCAAAAGCTGCCTCTTCGCCCCCCGAAGCGAACGTCGGCCCTGCAGCGGGCCCCCCGGAGCCGGGTAGTGGCCACCCGGTATCCTCGGGGGGGGGGGGGGGTGTTACCTGTGTCACCCGCGCTCCCCACCCTGGGTGACAGCAGGAGGGATGCGCGGTTGTAGCTCCGGCAGAGCTGGAAGACAAGCTGAACGGTGTAAATGTCGCTGGCTGCACGGTTAAGGGTACGTCCGGGCTAGATGCGCGTGTAGGAAAAACGTGAAGACCTCTCTTGCAGCCAGGAGATGCTGGATGTGTCAATAAGCTACGTGTCTTTTGGCCTGCTCATCTTCTCCTACGCTGGC